ACGGAGCTTTGGCAAGCGAGGACGTAACGAGTTTGTGTTTCATTGAATAACAGATGGAAGTTCTTTAAAGGTGTTCTGGTGGTGATTTTTGTTTTCTGGGAGTAGTCTGGACGTTGGACATAGTAGTAGCCGGTATTTAAGTAGCTCAAGTTATCGTAATTGCTTGAGCCTAGCTGACACAAGAGCGGATGAGCGGCTACGTACCCAATGTCAATGATGGTCATGATTGCCCGTGCAATCGGGTGCTTCTGCGTGATAAGGAAGGTACGGAGTAGCGTCGCAAGTGTGCACAGAGCGCTTCCTAATCACTGATATTGGGGATTGTTTGAATCTTGGGCATGAGGTTTCCGGGATTCCTTCCAGTTCAGTCGAGTTTGTCACACTCGAAGAATCGCCCTTTTGTTTATTTGGCGACGCTCCGGATGTGGACGTAGTTGGTGCAGACTCATACCCGAAGGAACTGACTGGAAAGGGGAGGAAAGTTCTCATCATCTAGAAGGGGCACCATAGCCTTCCGTCTTCTTGCTTTGACCTGTCTTGAGAGGTGTATTCTCACTTTCAGCAATTATGGTATGGTTGTCTGCGAGAATAGCGGAGTTCTCTAACAGGTAGCTGACCTTGTGGACTTGTCGGTAGGTTGATATTGGTGTTTCAGTTTTGTAGGAGGGACAGCTTCGTGAAATCGCCCCATGCCTTTTCTTGCAGATGACGCACCAAGGTTGATCGACTTGGCAGTCGGCGCACTTGTGGGAGCCTCCACAAAGGCTGCAGCATTATTTTTTTAACATGCAGTCTCGACATGTCCAAACTGTCGACATTTGGGGCACTGTCGTAACGTCTCGTTGTATGGGAGACAACTCTAAATCGAGTCTGTCCCGCAGAGACGTGTTTGGGCATTGTTTCGGTCGCAGAGACAAGCTTCCCAACCTTGAAGGAGCCGAGCCTCCCAACTTGGACGATTGGCACACTTGTGCCGATAGCTGATCTGAGGTCGGCATCTGTGATCTCCTTATATACGCCGCAGGTAACTCTAACAGCAGAAGCTTGGGGGTTGAGGTTCATAGGTATGTACCTTGATTCCCACTAGACTTGTTCGTGCCACGATGGCCTTTTTTGGAGTCAGAGTCTCGCGTGACAGTGGCAACGAAACTCAACCAGTAATTTGTTCAAATTTGCGCAACGCCACGAGATTTGACGATGTAAAGCTTTTCAGATACAGCCAGAGGATTCATTTTTGTGATGAGTTTGGTTGGATTTTCAGGCTCATTGATAACTGTTAGATCATGATGAGGTGCGTTTATGAGGGTGGATTGGCTCAAAAACGAGGTTCCGGAGGTGTGACATTGTTCCATATTTGGCGTTATCCAACCGGTGACATCAGTCTGAACGCCATTCATCCCGTTGTCGTCGCAGCTGTTTGGTCCGGGTGTGGAGTTGCCCCTAATCATACCTCCTGAACTGTGGGCTTTGTTCAGGGTGACAGCCTTCAAGTTTATGCGAAAACTTCTTAAGTGTTGTCGTCTAAACAGCTATAATGTTAAAAAGAAACTGAATTCACTTTTGAAAGCAAGATTGAGCATACATACAAGAACCCCAAAAACATCACTCATACAGCGGTGTCTCTAGCAGATGGCCATAATTTTAGAAAAGAAGCGTGCGATTCAACATGGCCGACGAGGCCGACGAGACTTCTGACGTCGCAATTCTCATTCCAGTGATGTGATTGGCCTAAGCCGTTTTGGAGCACCTTTTGGAGCAGCCAAAACAGTGTTTTGGAGCAGCAAAAGTGGCCTTTGGAGCAGCCAAAACAGTGTTTTGGAGCAGCAAAAGTGGCTTTTGGAGCAGCCAAAACAGTGTTTCGGAGCAGCAAAAAGTGGTTTTTGGAGCAGATTTTTTTATAAAAACAAAATATTTGTTTTAAGTGCTGGACAAAGGAAGGCACTTTGCTCGACACAATAACCAAATAATGGTCAAGTTAGACGACCTGGGAGTCTTTCAAGTTGTTAACTGAAATGCCAATGACACAACATATTTTGCAATGCTTCAGTTAAATGACATCTATATATGTACCTGCTATATATTAAATTTATTTGAAAATGACCAGTTTAGCAGTAAATATGAAAGCATAAACTTCATTAGTTATATAATATAATAAATTGAAGCAGTATCCAACTGATGAAACACGTAACTACTGCAATACAATACGAAACTGTACACGTGAAAAAGGTGAAGTACGACTGGTGGGTGCTTTTTCTTTTGCTTGTTGCAACTTTCTGCAAGGCTGCTGCAAGCCTCGCTTAGCTTTCGGCAAGTAATGAATGTCCACTTTCAATGTCTCCAAAGAGACGTTGAGACATCCCACAAGTGCACAGTGCTGTAGGCGTTGCCGAGCAATACCAAAACGTCTCCCACCGTTTTACTGGTTCCCGACATGCCAGATTTTTGTCAGAAGCGAGCAAATGTAAAGCAATGGATTGCAAGCGTCCCGGCTGGTACCTCTGTCGTGCAATCATGTTCGCATGCACGTGAGGGCAACTTCGGCAGCTTGCAGTTGCAGGCGCTTCGTTATGCGAGCGGAGACGGCTGTTCGATCGAAACCGAAACTCTGCCACTCCGCTCCGTCGCCATCCCCAAAATTGTATGCAAAATGTAACAATCCAGCATCAAAGAAAAAAAAAGAAAAACAGTCCAGCGGCGCGTGCTTGCCAGGCCAGTATGCGAGGCACAAGCTAATTTAAAAAGTTAAAAAGCGCAAACAAAACAAGGACAATAAAGCTAATCAAAGAAAAAAAAACCTGAGCGCATCAATGCAAGACATCGCGAGTCAGGGTCAAAAAGTTCTTGGAGCGCTTTGTGCAACAACTGAACTCAAAATAAACAAGCGCGCTGTGCGGGTTCAGCGTGCAGACATTGCCATTTTTTTGCTTTAGCTAACTTGTCTTAAACTTTCTTTTGCGACAGACTTTTCACGTACCGGGGTCCCTTTCAGAAGAAATCCCACCTCGAGAAACCTAGGTAAACAGTACTTCGACACAAGAGAGTTTGAGCTAGAGGGATTTTTGTAGTAACGTCTAATTTAAACAAGGACAGGATTGCTGATTACACTGCAGCGGTCCTTACGTTTCATTTTAGAAAGCGCCATATCTGCAGCAATGTGTGGACGGGAACACCCGACGTCATAACCACGGTGACTGGTAGGCAGGGACCAAAAATAGTTTTGCCACGGCCGTTTCTTTCAGAAGCGAGTGCTTCAGATCACAAGTAACTCCCAATGCGCAGAAACGTGGTTTCATTTTACAACATGACGGCATGGCTGGTACCCGGCAAGCTAGCGTCGAGGCGTCGATATACGCTTGCACCTATCGTTAAAATATTTTCAAGAGGATGCGAGACGAGACCCACGAGAGCGCGAAATGAGGAACGGCGGGAAAAGCCATGCGAGACCGGATGGACGATTGATGCAGCATACTTTCTGTCGGGCGGTCGCTTGCGCCCCCTAGCTCACGCATGCTCAATTACGGTACTTAGTTTAGTTTCGGTCTTGAAAGGCGACCAAAATTGCTCCTTTGGCGCAGGCTTGGCGCAGATTACCCATATTTCGGCGAAATGTAGCAGGATGTAGCAGGGTTAGCCCCTTGGCGCAGTTTGGCGCAATTGGCGCAGCAATCACATCACTGTCATTCCCTCTCCTCTTCGCTTTCTCCCCTCGAGCAGCTGAACCAAAGCAAAAAGGAGAGAACAAAATCGCTTCCCCTCATTCTCGACTGTTCCAGGAGAATCATGACGTCAAATTCCTTCCTTGGTCGCGCCCTTTTCCAAAAAATACGGACATTCATTTGAGATATTGATGTATGAGTTATGTTTTGGAGTTCGTAGTGTCCCATGCAATGGTTCCGCGACCTCATTTTGCGAAATCAAAATTTTCGGTTCGGCATTCTTTTAAGCTTGATAGCTGGGCTAGTTGGCGATCACTGAACATACGAGGTAAAATAGCACAAACACAAAAACAAAGATATTTTACCTCGGTATGGTCACATTTTAATTCCTCGAGTCATGCCTAGCAAATGTCTAGTTCTTGCTCACCGTGCAAAGTACTTCCAGAGAGCACCACACTGTGCAGTGAGCCAGAGCAATAGCTCACATTTTCAAAATGCTTCGCAAGGAATTGAGTATATAGCTGGTGCCAAATCGTACGAAACAAGTTCTACCATCCTGTTTGTAATGTTATGTGTTCATGTGAGTCTGTCTCACTTCAATCGTAGCTTTCACTCTTGTCAGTGTCTAACACTGGACTGGTCGTAAGCAAAATAAATGAGCTAAAGCTTAAGAGACAACTTGTAGATTTGTATTCCAAAATGAACGATGTTCGAGCTACAGTAAGTCTTGGTGGGTAAGGGGAGTCTACTCCCCCTTTGCAAGAGTCTCTCAATAAAACCTACGCTTCACATTTATCGCAAGTACCTACGACTATGGCGAGTCACGTACCGCAGGCGAATGCTCCGCCGCCACTTGCCTCCAAGGGTCGCTCATTTCAGTGCTGTGCCGGCACTAGCTTTTAACGGCCACGTGTGCCTCATGCATTGGCGCATTCGGGTAAGACAAACACAAAGACATTGAGGGGCTTTCGAAGAGCCTAAATCTCCTCGATAAAATCCACGCTTAGCAGTTCTCACAAGTACAGACAACCATTGTTGTGCAAATGCACGAAACGCGAGCCACGAGCGAGTGCTCCGCCGCCATTCGCTTCCAAAGTCTGCTCATTTTAGCACCGCGCCACCGTTCATTTTTGAGGGTTACACGAGGGGAAGCCATCGTGCATTGGTGCATCTGATGCTTCCTGCTAGATGAACACAAACGCATCGAGGGAATTAACCGGAGCCAGCTTTCCAGCGCCATCTGGGGAGGGCACGGCCAACCAGGCTCGCCCCTCCCAGCTGGGAGAAGCTGGCCATTACAGAGAGAGTCCAGCCCCCATCCGAGGCAGGCATTGGAGGGCATACCTGGAGGTCGTAGGGTGGCGGAGGACCGGATGGCTCCTTGCCCAGGAACTGGGACTGGAATCCCCGGCCGCTGTCCCCGCGCACGCTGGGGATCGGGGGACCCGCCGTGGCACGCTGGTCGGCCGTGAAGTACGGGTAGCGCAGGGCCTGCACGTGGTGGCCAGAACCACTCGCCCAACGTACTACTGCACTCCATGATAATAAAGATGACGATAACGGCGGCGCTGCTGCCACTAAGGACAATGCTATGGTCTTTAGAAAGACTGGCTAGTCTCCCAATCACACGGCCCTCTCCACGCAGCCAGGAGGCAACACCGTGGATGAAAGGGGGCACTGCACGCAATAGGCGTGCTGTCGTGCGCAGTCGGTTCTCTTAAATGTTACTGGATCTGTTGACAAGCTTCCTAGAATGTCTGGCACATATTCGGGGCGCCCCTTTTTGGTGACGCTCACTACACTATCGGATCGCCTTATGGACACAAGCAGCAGAACAGGTGGAAGGTTAAATGCACATTGCCTGCGGTGCAAAGTCATTCAATTGCGGTTTTTATGGTAAACAAAGTTTGCGCGAAAAGGGTGTCGTTCCAAGACGGTTCTTCTCCGTTGCCCGTGGAGGCGTTGTCACTGATGGCATGGGAATGCCATCCAGTCGTGCCCGCTCATGTGCAGGAAACAGAGAAGAACCGTTTTCAAACAAAGCTCTTCCATGGGGCTTGTCACTGTTCAACTGATAGCTCTAAGAATGTTGGCTTTCCTTGTGTGGCTGCTGCTAGTGGCGCTGTGAATGGGCATGCTCCTTTCAAGTTGGGCTTTTTTTTAGGTCTCGGTTAATAATTCTTTTCGATAAGATAATGGTTGGTTCTGAAACTTTGGGTTCGGAATGCTAGCGCTACACTGGACGGAAACTGAGATAGCCGCATTGCATAGTTTATGCAACAATGCATTAAGTATGCATTGTTGCATAGTTTATTTTTGCATGGCAATTAAACTATGCAACAATGCAGTTTATTTTTGCCATACAAAAAATTACTACTTTTTTTTCTATTTTGGAAACACGCTGCACAGCTGAATGTATGGCGAGGAAAGCCTTGAAAAAGACTCTGGATTGTGCATACTCTTTGGCAACTGAAAGATGTATTGGACGTGGGAGTGACCAAGCTACATTATCCAGGGCACACTTCAATGATGGTTGTTTGATCCACTCATAAAAATCCCTTAGAAAAAAAAAAAACAGTTACTATGCTTGAGGAGTCCACGTTTCTCAGTCTCAATAAAGTTAGTGAGAAGAGTGTTGTGGACGTTTCTGCTTTCTCAGCAAGGGCAAATTTCCTTTGTTAGGCTGTGAGACACATGCCACGGCAATCCCAACAAGCATACTCCAGTCCTCCACCCTCCTTCGTTTCCGGTTTTACACCAAAGCAATGAACAGCGAGAGGGCAGGAAAGCAGCAACAGCTTCTGAAGATGAGGTGAAAGCTATTCAGCTGAAAATTAGGCACTCATTTGTGTCCTCTAGATTTCTTTTCATGGCTTGGTAACTGCCCCGTAAATTGCATACTATGAACGGACAATTACTATTTCTTACGATGTTATGCGTTGCGTGTCCTGTGACTTTGCATATCTTTTTGAAAGTTTGTGCAATGAGTGATGTTAAGCATGCATCATGTGCAGAACCCTTTCACTCATTGTTTGTATCGAATAAAAGCTTGAAAATTGCGGGAGTTGGGATTGCTGCGTAAACAATTCATAGACTGCATGCCAAAGATAGCCAACGGAAATGCTACGTTGATCCGAGGTTACGACTGTCAACATTTGCACACTTTTATACAAATATTTTTTAGAATATATAAAAAATGAAAGAAAACACTGTATACATAACTGCTTATTTTACTAAATCACGTAATATGGGTCTTGGCAGGTTTTCTATCAAGTTTTTAAATGCTGACATATAGCCCTGGTGCAAGAGAAAAAGAGACGGACAAATGCAAAACTCTCGCGTGTGCCTGTCCTTTTTTCCTCTTGCTAAAGGGTTGCTATGTCAGCCCCTAAACTAGGTCACCAGCACTCTCAGTCATTTCAACGTATCATTCCGTCCCGGAAAGTGGTAAGTGCACAGCAGCCCAAGCATAAAGCGAGAAACAATCAGCAAGCGCGTATGGGCAGTGCGCCTGGGACGCTGACTGCTTGCAATGCCGTATGTCTTCATTCCAGGCACCACAGTGACTGGAGAGACTAGCCAGTCTTTCTAGGGACCATAATGACGCTAACGTGGTAGTGGGGTGATGATGATCATGATGGTCATGATGAGAGGGCACCAGAACTTCCTACCGCAGGTGCGAGATGGATCTAACCCACTTCGAATAAATCATCAAAATGAGCTTCCCACGTTGGAACACTGGGTGGTGGATTTTTCATGGAATTTTGAAGGAAACGCTCGCTTCAATATGAAAAGCAAAATTTTTCTAATGGCTCAGTGAGAAGTTAGGCGTTTCTTGAGCGTAGGTGAAAAGATGCTCCTTACAGGTGGCTTCATTGGACAAAAGATCATAAGAGGAAACTCTGACCAATTTTCCACCCTTTTTGTTTTCAGCCATATGTCCTAATGGCCCGCAAGCAATTCCCGGCAATGGATTGGCTGGGATTGCTGAACATGTCCGCTGCAATCCATCGTGAGGAGAGATGAATGGTCACGAGGCTGTTTGTCACCTACTGGCACAGGGCAGATTGCACATGCATCGCGTCAGCACTCACTAAGCAAGTCCCAGCCAAGTGCTGTTGCAGCAGTCACACAATTTAACAACATGACACCGGGATGGTCAATAAAAAAAGCATGGCTGAGCCACTCGGTGCATTTTTTGGTCTTCATCAATCTGATACACTCTTTTGCTTGATAGTTTATGCAGCAATGCTAAGCACACTTGGGCCGCATTTTATGTTTAGAGCAAGCACAGAAGAAATGCGCATTTATTTCCTCAGCCCAAGCAATGTGGGCAAAGCAAAGCGAGCCGCCTGGATCCGCCTTGTCAAGTGGGTGTTTCATATTGTTGGAGACTGTACGGCCACACCATGGCTCGTCAGTTTATTTGGGTGCAACGATCTGCGCCGAGCACCCAGCGAGAAATCGACGAGCCACGGCGAGGATGTACAATTGGCTCAGTCATGCTTTCGTCGACCTAAAGCCCCTCAATAAAGGCATTTTTGACAAGTGCCACCAACAATTGTTGTGGAAATGTGCGAGACATGTGCCACGAGCGCGTGCTCCACCACCATTCGCTTCCAAGGGCCGCTCGAGACATGGGTATTGTGCACTGGCGCATTTGACGCTGCTTGCTAGACAAATGCAAACACATCGAGGGGCTTTATGTCAACCATCCAAGTGGCACCTTCGTGCAGTCACTCGTCTTATTGCATCCACTTTGTGGCCCGCAGCGGCCTCCAGTGGAAGACATAGAAAATCTAGCGCGACGGCCTCTCTCTCTACGAGGTGTCGGACGAGTGCGCGTTTACTTGTCGAGGCCGTGGACGCGCGCTCGAGCCAAAGCCAGCGTCCGTACCAAGAGTGCCATGGGCCGCCGAGCGGGGTTCCAGCGCAGCAGGTCCCTGAGCAGGACCAGGGCATCCCTGCCCGCGTTGGGCACCACGTTGCCCAGGGGCATCTCCGAAAACTGGGGGAAGCGGAAGTTCATGGCCGCCGCCAGCTGATGACCCTCGGACCAGTCCCGCTGTGGGAAAGCCTGCCGTCAGTGATGACGCCCTCCGTCCATCCGTACTAGAGTGCCCGGAATATACGTTCCAAACAGCGGTCCCTTCATTTGCGCTTGTTGCAAAAGTGCCTGCCGCAATCCCGGCAGCGGCACGGCAGCGGGGTGGATGCGGCAGACGTCTGCTGCGGGTAGCTCTCCGGCTCGACAATTAACCCGAGCGATCGGGAGCCGAGACAACGACCACCACCCTCGCGTTCGATTTTTGCCGGAGCCTCAGAGACCAACTGCCTGGACATTCGACAACATGACACACCGGCTGCTGCGACGTAATTTGTTGGGGACTGCTTTTGATGCACGGACGGCGAGGAGTGCTCCATAGCCTCCCCTATACTTACGAAGCCTGGCAGTTCGATGACGGAGCCATAAAGTGCCCAGTTGCAGATTTAGAGCACGAGTATCTGGTAGCACAGAGCATTTTTCGGGGAGTCTGGTATTCAGCGCACAGATTTTGCACCGGCGAGGACCCGAAACATGGCTTTCAAACCTGACGAGAGAAGAAGCGGTAGCCCAAGGAACGCGAGAAGCATGAGCAGACATTCCATCGCTTGGGACAAGAGTGTTTCGGCGTCTCGCCGCAACAGGGTGCCCATTACATGAGTCTTGTCTGCTGCTCTACCTTTTCACTTTCGCCGGCTGCGTCTCATGGCGATCTGCCAGGCTTTGTCAGTATAGAGGAGGCTATGGCTCCACAGACCGAAGAAGCATTCTAGGCACCGTACGCGTATTATGGGCGCCCGAATCGGGGAGCTCGTCCCGGAAGCGGAGGACAGACCTTGTCGGGGGTGCCGAGCACGGAGCAGATGCGGAAGATCTGGTCAACCTCGCTGCGCCCGGGGAAGAGTGGCTGGAGGGAGTACAGCTCGGCCAGGATGCAGCCCACAGCCCACAGGTCAATGGGAGAGCTGTAGCTCGTCGAGCGCAGCAGGATCTCGGGGGCGCGGTACCTGCCAACAGGGACCACGCTGCTGATCGCCGGACGCTCCCGGGGCATCCGGGCACTAGACCCTTTTGTGGAAACGCCATTTAACAGCTGTTGCGCAGTCGAGTCTGCCATTGTTTGGGTGTGTTACCCTGAGGCGTATTGAACTAGAGAGCCATGTCGGCGTTTGGCAGGGACTTGGGTCCCTGCTGAAAAATGATGACCACCAATCTTGCTCGATGGGGTTTTGCGGAGGGCCTATTGCGTTGTTCCTTAAGACGGCGGTCGTCTCCACCGTAGACGAGACATTCGGCCGGTGCAGCGTGACTGCTTGCCCGGGGCGTCTAGCAGGCACTGTAGGGACACACGACTGCAACCGGATCAAAATGGGCGGGAGTGGTGACCGAGTCCGAGATTCCTGGCCCGTGGGGCATAGGCACGCTCGACCACCGATACCCCCAGGAGTTAGAAAAATGCCGAAGACAGCCTCCCACGACATCCTCACTACTGGACTCGCCCCACAGCTCGTGCCTTCATTTGCACTACGCCTGCTGGCTGGCACCGCCTGCCAACAGGCGGCGATGCCAGAAGCGCATGTCTGCCGTTTGGCCACATACTCTGGTCAAGCTTGGGCGTGTCTGTACCTCGGGGATCTACTAACAACCACCTAATGGACAGGCCTGGTAATCTAGACCGGGACACGACAGCCACTCTCCACCAGAATCCACCATTCTATCAGTTACTGCTTTGTAGGAGAGGGTGTTTTCAATAGCAGTGCACGAGCACAGCCGAAAATGAGTTTGCCGCACGACGCGCCACCGACAATCCGGGCACCAGACTGTTCTTGTGCTTTGTTTAGGGCTACTTATCGCTGCCCCCTTTGGTGGCTGGGAACTTTGGCAAGGATGCAAAAGGTGCCACGCCATAATGGCGCTCATCTATACTCCACGTCAACTATTTTGTGCTACATTGTCGAGGCTAGCGTAGCTTCTACTGTGCAACAGCTCCGCACTGCTCCGAGAGCCAAGGCTCTGCCCTTTCCACCTCATTCGCATGCGCAACTAGCTTTGTCAGTGTTCAAGCAGCGAGAAAGCTAAGCTAGCTTTGACGACGTAGCAGAAAATAGCTGACACCGAGTATAGTGCTAGCTAAAAGCCTCTATGTCCCGTAGAAGACAGACGAACCTCGGGTGATGATGCCAATAAACTTTGCGTGACATCTTTGAATTACAAGAACGTTCGTCGGAGGAATCCACTAGAAACCATCTATAAAACACATTCTGTGTTAAACAGATTGACAGTTGTAATTCAGTCTATCCATTAAAGGGATACTTCAACGAAATTTGAAATATTCCCGTCGTGTTCAAAAATAGGTTAAATATGATCCACAATATCCGTAAATGACAATCGCACGTTTGTATTTTGATCCTGTTGGCTGTATTTTTCGTTATAAACGGCCCACTCTGGCAAGCGCTCGGAGAAGGCCCAGCGGAGACCACGTGACATCCAACGCAATCGTGACGTAGGTCGTCTCTAGACGAGCAAAGCTACGGCGAGGCTGACGTCGAGAGGATGGCCTAGTCGTTCCAGCCACCGAAGCGGCTGCTTTTGTACGAATTTTGAGTGACGGCTTAATCTTCTGTAATCTTGTAGGGGGACAATAGCGACTTCTGCGACACACAAAAGGCATTCTCAGGAAGAGGGGAGCTCCTCCTGCCCCTCTTCTCTCGTCGTGGCCGGAGACGAGACAACCTCCGTCTCTAGCTGTCAAGGTTCCTTGACGGGCATTACAAGCGAGGCGTTAGCGACATCCATCAGGTGCTCTTCGCTAATCGTTTAATTGGTTTTAAAATTCCTTTTCGTGACTTTTTTTAACAATATATTGGTATGTTCGATGTGATGCTGCTTTTTTGAACACATATAGACTAAAAAATGAGCGCCGAAATTTCGTTGTAGTATCCCTTTAAATCGTCATATGCATAATAACAAAATACACGAGAAACATTTTTTTTTTATTACATTTTTACGGGCAACTCCGATCAATCGAGCAATATAACGTCAAGCAACCTGATTGCATAACATCACGTTACACCACAATTCAACACCCAATGACCAGATCTATAACGTTGACAGCTTGGCGTCACGTGACACTGCAGCTTCGCACCCTGAACCAACGTTACGTGGCATCAGGCTGCGTGACACGGCACACATGCCACAGACAAACACAAAAACTGAGTTGGGTTTTGTCGGAATGCAGATGCCTTCGAAAGAATTTTGCCTTCAAAAGAATTTGTGGGTCGTATTTTTTACATAGTTGATTCAAGCACTAGTGAGAGACAATGCGCCACCTTCCCCCAAAACACTGCAATTCTGCCGCATAATTGCGAAGGAAAAAAAGCATTATTTCTCGATCTGCAGAGTGTGTGGCGGTCACGGGGCAACACGTCACGGGGAGTGCGCAAGTTTTCGTGCCGCCATTTTATGAAATGAACAAAACCATTCCCTCTCTGCGGCATCTTTCCTCTCGATCGCTCGCCGCAACCTTCGTTAATGTTAAGCAGGTGCTCTATCGTAGCCAGACGTTGATACGTCGACAACCGTGGGCCTCGAGGATAAAATCCAACAAGAAACCACGTGGTACCGACATCCCTGAACTTGACTTGACGAGTACCCTCAGATTTGTTTCATTTTTTAAAATAAAACCTAGTGCACGTGAAAACAAATGATGTTCCTGGTTCTATGGGCGGCACAGATTACTTCCCGCAATTAACCGGCCGAAGTCAGAAAATGGTTGTCCCTTTAAAAGAGGGCAAAGGAGGGGGACCCACCAGCGTGTGGACACGTAGTCCGTGTAGGGTGGCTGGGAGCGGATCTCCCTGGCGAGGCCGAAGTCTGCAATCTTGACCAGCTCGGGTCCCGTGCAGAGCAGGTTCTCGGGCTTGATGTCCCGGTGGAAGAAGCCGTGCTTGTGCATGAACGACAGCCCCTGCAGGATCTGCTGCAGGATGCTGCGGATCACGGGCTCCGCAAATGGCTTCTCCCTGCGTGCCCCCGGGGGATGCCCGTTCTGTAGGGCCGCCACCCGCTCACTGGTCCGCATTAAACTCGCCCTAGCCTAGGGCCAATTCACCCCTTTTCCTCGTGACTCCTATTTGACCTTCTTGTCGACTCGCAATTGCGTTGGTCCAGGAGCGATAGTGACGTGCCTGGGGTCGGCCACCCTCTTTTAAGGCCGTCGGTGATTATGCACCAACATGCGGCTCTGACGTCAAGCGCTGCTGTCGGAACAACGCATGCGCGGACCTGTCGCTCGACGCGCACCTGGTTCGTGTGAATGCGCACTGCCCACACCCGGTGATGCGGGTCTATAGGTAGCTGCGCTCAGCCTTTCATTGTCGACACGACGGCCATTCGTCCATTTCTACCCCGTTTGTCGACGTGCCAGCAGCTCGTGGGTGCCATCACCTAGGTACTTAGAGCCACACGCGCGTCGACACTTTCTCGACTGAAACCTTTAGAGCAGGGGGTGAGAAAATCATTGTTTTGCTCGCAACTGTTTTAACGAACGGGACGGAAAGCACTTCCTGGATTTTTCGTCGTCGACAAAAGCGGCGACTGGCAGCGTTAATTCTAAGCAACGAAATTGTCCTCTAAAGCGTCGCTTATTAACTGGCCCTAGCCTGCAGCGTAAAGTTCATATTAGAACAAGGGGTCTGCGTTTTTTCTCCCACCTTTACTCTCCTGGTGCGGCCCGCGGCAGAGCGGGCATCTGCCACTGCCGCTGGGGTCACGTTGGGCAAGAGCAAGACTTTTACGGTGGCATCGGGCGGGAACGGAGGAACCACATTTGAGGGCGCGGTAAACTCGAAGACGCGTTTCGGGCACCCTACTTTATGCGCATAAAAATGGGTAGAAGATTGGAAAGCAAGGGAAGGCCCAAAGCACCTGTCTTTGATGAGCTGGTACAGGTTCTCCCGCATGTACTCGAAGACGAAGTAGAGGGTGTTGTCCTCTCGGATGACCTCCTTCAGCTTCACCAGGTTGGCGTGGCTCAGCTTCTGAAGGGACTGCACAGGCACGCACACGTCACTCTACGCCCAGTGTAGCCACGATCCATTCCCTGAGCAGGGCCGCAATTTTGTTGCCCAATGCACCTCGACCTTGGGATAGGGTGACGGGAGGCTCAGACAATGTCGTTTTTTGCTCTGTCGTACAGTAAAATATTAAGAGGGCTAGTTGGATAAGCATTTTGTAAATAGTGCAAAGGTCAAGCACACACTGACGAAATAGTGCTTGTTTGTCAGTGTGTACCTAACCTAAGCGGCACTACTTGTAAAAAACTGTCATACACTGTTTCAACGTTTTTGGAAAATGAAAAAAGCATTTCCAGCGATATCGGATCAGTGGTAAGATTGATTATGAGGAACAAGATGGCAGTCGCTACTCTCAGGTGATTTACTGACTTTAGCCCACGCAGCTGGGCTAAGAGTCACCGACTTCTGCTTACCTTCACCTCTCGCAGGTTCATGCACTCGTCCCAGGAGTAGTACTTCTTCTTCATCCTGCAAACGGACATCACATTTAAGGCTTCCTGTTTTGGGGGTTTCTTTTTCTTCTCATTCCTTTTTTTGGGGCCTATTCTTTCCCACATATTGGGGGCTTGCATTTATCGAAGTCTATGTTGAAAAAAAAAGAACCATGGGCACGTCTGTTAACGTCCGTGAAGGACGGTGTCTGTCTGCTACGAGGTGTCGATCCCAGTAAAAAAATAAAATGAGAAGGCGCTAACATTGTCTGCTCACGAAAAAGGGGGAAAAAGGAAAAGTACAGCGTTGGCTAGCGTTGTCTGCTTTTAAAAACAGGAAAAAAAAAATAAAGTGGATTGCTGGTAACAAATTGAGTCCAGCAGACAGAATCAAAAGAGAGCTTAAATTGTGACCGTCCACTGTTTCACGAAGAAAACAATCAACTACGTGTGCTTCCTTTACAAATGACGAGTTGTTTTGTGCCTGTACGGGTGCTAAAAGCTACTGACAGATAAAAGAAATTCTCGAGACGAGCATTTCTTCGGACTCAATCTTGGCCTGAAGAATCTATCTCCGATCTGGAAGTTTTCTCGCTGCATTTCCCTGTATATCGTAAGGATAGAAATGGTTTCGGTGGTGGTGACTTTTTGCTCAATCATGAAAGTTTAAAATGTTGCAAGATAGATTTCAGTCGCTTATCTTGTGAAACTGTCTGGTTCCGCGTCTATCTTAAAATACCGATTATCTTACTAGAGGCTGTTTTTATAGACCTCCGGCAAGTGACGCTAACACAATTTTTTCTGTGAGTAATGCTTTATCTATTATCGGTGATGGTTTTGTTGTGGTTGGAGGCGACTTTAATTTGCACGATGTTCAGTGGTTGGATCGTCAACCCTTGACTGTTAACTCTTTGGGTGTATATTCAGCAGTTCTTAATCTTATTAACGACTAAGATCTGAAGCAGTTTGTTAAGAGCCCATAAGGATTTGTGCCAGTCGATCGAGCATCCTTGACCTTCTTTTTAGCAATCATGATTCGGTGATCTCTGCTGTAATGGTCATTCCCGGTACAAGTGACCATAAGGCAGTGGTTGCGAAGTTGACTTGTTCATTCGAAAGCAATATTTTGCTTCGTCCAAAGAAAGTGTATTTTTTTGATAGAGGTAATTATGCTGGCTTATCTGATAACCTCAGTTCATTCCTTCCTGTTTCTGAAGAAATCAGTATATCGGGTAATGGTAATTTATTGTGGAAGGTTTTTAAAGGTAGGTTATTAACTTTCATTAAAATTTTTGTTTGATCAAGAATGCTTACGTTCAAGTGACGTGAAAACCATGGTTTAATTCTGAGCTACGCAAGCTTACGAATAAAAATAAATGTGCACTGAAACAATATTGCATACGCAATGACTATGTCATATAATAAACAACAAAGGTAGGAGCTATTCTCAAACGTGCAATAGCTTTGTCCCGAGCAAATGATTTCGCGACGCTGAATACCAAGCTAAAACAGAACTCCAAGGAGTTAAGGAAGTTCATTCGGTCTAATCGCAAGGATACTGTGGATGTTCCATCTCTGATCGTAGATAGTAACCTTGTCTCTGAGTACAATTTAAAGGCTGTCACCTTTAATGATTACTTCTTCGGACGTCACTATGTGTAACTACATTTAGTCGGACGTTGCACCTAATCTTATGGTTTGCTTGCCTGAAATTCAATTTAATGTGCAAGGTATCTTTAAACTGCTAACCAAAGTAAAACAGGGTTCAGCGACTGGTCCCGATGATATTCCAAATACTGTGTTAAAGTCTTGCGCTGATATTGTTACTTGTGACTTGGTCATTTTATTTACTGTATCCTTAAAATATGGTTCTTTACCACTTGACTGGAAGTATGCGATTGTTGTGCTGATCTATAAGTCTGGTCCCAAAAGGCTGGTTGAGAATTATAGGCCTACCTCCCTCACGAGCGAATCCCGTAAAACAATGGAGCGCACAATTAACACCAATCTTATGAATCACCTAGCCCTAATTAATTTTTTTTTACTCCAACTCTGCATGGTTTTCGATCCGGGTCATCCTGCACCACGCAACTAGCGAAATTCTATTATGATATAGCACTGTCATTCAATAAAAGTAAGCGGGTCGATTGGATTTTTCTGGACTCTAAAAAAGTGTTTAATATGGTTCCTCATGCTCAAACTTCAGAAACTTAAATTTGATTTTAACATTTTTTTTTGTTGGACAGGTGAGTATTTGAATCCTCGGAAACAGTCCATGGTAATTAAGGGAATCCGGTCCCCGTATGTAAAAAGTTATTTCCGGTGTCCTGCAGGGATCGGTGCTAGGACCACTCCTGCTTTTAATTTATATTATTGATATAGTTGAAAATGTTTTTTCTAGCATAATATAATATGCCAACGACTGTGTTTTATACAGTGACGCCTCTTGTAACACTGATATGTTTGCTCTCCAAAGCTATACTTAGATAAGATTGAAGCTTGGTGTTTTCAATGGAGCATGTCTTGAAATCTATCAAAATGTGTTCACATCAAGTTCACCAGAAAATCAAACTTTTTTCCCCTCATCATGCACTATTTGGTGGGTCGCCGGTTGGACTTTTAACAGAGGCAACAGACATATTGACTATATCACTGCAAAGGCTGGTCGGTCACTAGGTTTCATTAAAAGTAATCTTAGGTTGGCCTCATCGTCACTAAAAGAAACCTTGTATTTCTCGCATGTACGATACATTTGCCTGTACGATCTGGAACCCATATAGGCTTAATCTGGAAGATCATATTGAAAAAATACAGAATCGTGCTTGCAAGTTTGTTACGGGAATAATTTCAGAGTAAGTGTAACTGAACCTCTGGGCTGTCAATGCCTCCGTTTGAAACTTTTAACATTTTTCCTGACAGTAGTTGTATCTGTAAATCAACATATCTCCTGCAGCCTGCTTGCGTGTCTCTTACAATAGATAATTCAAGGAAGATTCATCCATATAAACGTAAAACTGATGTTTTTAAATGTTCTTTTTTTCCATGGTCTATCGATGTCTGGAATAAATTACACAATGACGTTGTAGAAATTACAATGCCGGAGTTGTTCTTTGACAAAATCCAGTTCTTCGTTTAAGTTTATTATATTCTAGTGTCACTGAGTCTTGAATTGTTGTTTTTATGTCTGTATAACAGCGTTTCATTTTGTTTTGTTATAATCTTTTGATCATATATACTGTTTTTTTTTGTGCCCCCCTACAGTCATGCCTTTTTAGGCGATGTAAGGGTTCAAATAAATAAATAAATTTGGTAACCGCAAGGTCTTTCTCATCGTCCGTGTGCGGGCGAAAAAGTTATTGCCAAAACCCTGCTCAATCGTAGACAACTTTAACCAATTGAACTCGTACGATTCCTTCTATAACGAGAATGAAGATTAAAGAAAAAAATTATCGCAAATTTATGAGTTTCAATTACATTTAAATAAAAAAAAGTAAAACCACCTCCATGTCCACTTGATTTTTTTCGCCTTGTAGCGCCGTGATCATTGGCGATTGCAGCCGTGTGAGAGGCCGTTTCCGCAGTGCTGTGGCATTAGCACCTGTCAGATTGTCTCATGAACTGTTCCCGAAGTGCTCGCTATTCTGGTGGAAGGAAATGTTGCTGTGGTGAACGTTCATCCAAAGATGGTTGGTTTCGGAGCAGACGACTCTTGGCTAGCAGACAACAGCCGGTTCCTCTGGGCATCGCACTTCGCAGTTGGCGTGGTGACACAAATGCTCCCGTCACGTCAAGTCACGCCCCTCGCTCCGACGCTCTTATAGGGTCACAGGCCCTAGCCTTCACAGTTCGCCAAGTTATCATGAAACGAAGTAGAGTATAGCGCATAAAAAGCGACGAAAATTAACCGATACTACGGCACAATGTGAACGTGTTCCGACGAGGGAAAGCATGCCATTCCTAGTTCACGGAACACCCTCCGGATGACACTCATTCCTCGAAAAAGCTCCATTAGAGCAACAGAGAGAGGCACATTACAGCTCGAGCGGGGGAAGAGTGTATTTTGAGGGCATACTATCACGCACCTTGCTTCGACGCCCCTCCAACATAATTTCTTTGTGGAGCAACGCCGACAGTGGCCATTTCTTGGGCACAAAGCGCGCCATTAGATCGGAGTCCTCGCCGAGCCCCGACTCAACATTCGTTCTCTGCTCGAGCAAAGTCGAGCACGTTTTTGCGGGGAGCCACCCGAAGAGGCCATGCTTCTGGGATGCAGCTTGGTGACGCAAGCATTGCAGCGGAAGGAATGCTCGGAGAGTACGAGCAATCCCGGTTTGGAGGCAGGTCGAACTACTTCCAAGGATGTTTTGTCATCAAAGCCTGTCGTGTCGATTGCAGAAACAGTTAAATGTGACCACCAATGCCCCTTTGACCGTGTGAACGATGGCGGAGGGAGCTGCCAACATGATGCATGTCCCTCTGCGTACGTTTCCTTTGTGCAAATACTGGTTCAGCGAAGAGGCTCTTAGGAGGACGCCAATCTTCCCAAAAACATGCTAACTTTATCTCTGAATGGTGTAGCTGTTGGTGCATGAAATACTGCTAAATGTAAATACATGCGTGTGTCTCGTCTTAACACAACACGTCCTGTTTATTCCGTTGATAACATTCCTCTTGAATGTGTGCCACCCTACAAGTATCTGGGAGTGCACGTAACAAGTATCCGGGAGTGCACGTAACAAGTATCTGGGAGTGCACGTGCACGTTACCTTTAAAAGAAACATTTTCTCACGCATACGCCATTGAAACTCATCCTTTACAAAACCCTTGTTCGCGATAAGCTTGAATATGCTGCATCTATCTGGGACCATGGTCTTGAATCGCTCATTTCTGAATTGAAGTCTGTCCAAAATCGTTCTTCCCACTCAATCCTTTCGAATTACCATCGTACCACCAGCATAACTGCAATGAAAACCAGCTTATCCTTGCCAAATCTTTCTTTGCGCAGAGAAGTTTCCCGCTTGTGTTTGCTCCATAAAAAATATCACATTAATTCACCTCTCAAGCAAAGGCTTCTAACACAACCCCATTATCTATCAGTACGGAACAATCATATATTCAAAGTTAGTGCTGCAGGCATTCCATCCTGCAGGACTAGCACATATTATCATTCCTTTCTTTCCAGCACCTCTTTATATTGGAATCACCTTCCCATGGATGTTGCCAAAATTGTGGACTGTAAGAGTTTTAGAAATACCTTGACTAACATGTATTGCTTCACAGTGCCACTTTTATAGAGTCCTCCAGCCGTTTTGCTGTTGTGTATTTTTTTCTATGTGTATTTTTTAAAATCCACTCCCCTCTGTATTGCCTCTGGCACCGAAAGTAAAATAAATAAATAAATAAAGTGCCTCGATAGGATGCGAGAAAATAAACCTTCCCCGGAAAAGATAAAAAGCAATAGCGCAACATTTATGTTCTCAGACTCATTTGAGTAATCCCAACACATGCTTTTGTTTTGAGGTCGACGAAATAGAAGGTTTCCAAATCCCTTTCAACTCAATAACTCAACTTTTGCAACGCAAGTATTGCTCTAAAATATATTTTGTTTTCTGACAAAGTTAATTTTGTGGCACATGTTCTTTATCCAGGGACGTAACAAAATGCTTTCTGTGATAAGGTGAGGTGACACACGGGGGGGTGCGGGGCAGGGTGTACCTCTTGACGGCCACCTTCTCGCCCGTGTCGAGGGAGCGTGCCAGCACGACGCTGCCAAAGGTGCCGTCGCCCAGCTGGTGCAGCAGCTGGTACCGCTTCATCGGGGAGTGCCGCCGCTGCATGCCGGGGAGGTGCCGCAGGGGGGGCTCTCAGGGTGCCCTGGCAGGGCTGCCGTGCACAGAGGGTGCCGCCGTTCACTCAGGGGCCACGTGCTGCACTACATTCACGAGCCCCTGCCCCCTCCTCTCCAGCACTCTACTATAAAAAGTCCTGGGAGGATCCTGTACCGCTTGACCCACAACAGAAACAGTGCTCATCCAGTGTGGACTTGACCATAACTTACCGCATTTTCCGGACTATAAATCACACTTCGGTATATCGAGCCATTTTCGGGGAAAAGTTGGTATATAAGTCGCATCTTTGTATAAGTTGCACCTCCTTGCACGGTTCACGCGACGAGCTTTTTTGCGCATCGGTATCGCAAAATCAGAGTTTCGCACAATCGGCTAGATTCTATGTACCATTTGACACGCAACTGAGACGTTTTGACTCGCAAGAAATGCCCATAGCACGGCGCTACCTGGCGGGACAATCGAATGTTTCGCAGCAAAAGGATGTAAAACGCGCAAAATGAGAGGGTTGTGGGCTTTACTCCAGTGTACACATAGTGAGCGAATGAAAGTTTAACGTGCCAGACACTCGTAAACGAAGTTTTGGACCACCAGGCCTAGCCTAGGCCAAGTCAAGGCGACGAAGCGAGTGTCGACGCGCAGGCAGATAGATAAATCTTGACACATTTCTTTCGGTGCCGCTGAAACATCAGCTAGCCGCAATCCTCACTTTTACATGTAGAAACACGGTTCTTTCAGTGTTACTGGACTGAAGCAAGAAAATACAGAACCATGGCTGAATTAGGCAATGTTAATCACATGCTGCAGAAGCTATATTCTCACTGCCTTGCCTATTCACATTGAGCCACTTAACCGTAAAATTTCCCGCTTTCCGAGTCAGTTCTGAAAAGTGAAGAAGAGTGCGGTAACAACATTGCCTCCAGGAAGGGGCAATACCACCTATGGCTACGTAATTACAGGGCGCTACAAAAGATAGCGTGCGGTGCATAAAACAAAATGTGTCGCACCCTAAATTTAAAAAAAAAGAAATGCGTATAAGTCACATTATAGTATAAAATGCACCAAGATAAATGTTATATAAAAAAAGCGACTTATACATCGGAAAACACGGTACCACCGATACAGCACTGTGTTGGCACTGTATAACAAATTTGGGTGAGAAGCCAGTGCCACATCAGCAAGGTCAGTGCTATTTCCAGTGCAGAATTATAGTGCTGATGTAGTACAGTGGTGTATGTATCAACTCCCCTTCATAGGCCTATGCACACATACAACACAGTGCTGATCCAGAGTTTAATTCACAGTTAGAAACAGCATGCACTAACCTTAGCATTGATGCAGCGCTCGCTAACACAGTGCTGCAGGTGGTTTCAATGGCCTCATGTGCAGTATCCGAGACACTGCAAGGATGTGTCACAATGCTCACAATTCTGGTAACTAAAGGCCTGTGCAAACATATGGTGCAGCGCTAAACCAACACTGGGAGCAGCACTGATGCAGCACTGTATCACCTATGTATCGCTAATATAGAGCAAAGTCGGCGGTGAACTAGCAAGGTCAGCGCTATTTTCAGTGCTGACCAATAGCTGTGAGGCAGTGCTGGGGTGTATGAAGGAACAGGCTTTTATAGGTCCTTGCACATATGGTGCAGTGCTGATCCCGCACTAATTCAGCGCTGGCCTCAGAGTCGATGCAGCACTTGCCAACACAGTGCTGTAAGTGGTTTCAATGCATGGTGTCGTCTCATGTGCCGTACTCGAGGCATTGCAGAATGTGTCACAGTGCTTACGGTTTGACTAAAGACCTGTTCACAGATACAGCGCTATAGGCACAGCATTGACTTTAATCTATACGAGTGCCGTAACAGTGCTCCGCTGCATGGGCTTTTTTATGTTTACAGACACACACTGCAGTACTTACTCAGCACCAAGTTTGACGCAGTGTATCTCAGGGCTGCGATGCACGTGTGAGCTGGTCTTTATTCTTTTTTTAAAATGATGGTGTATGCAAAGAATAGTGGCAAAGGCTTTCTCCAATACCATTTGGTCTCGCCTTTCTCAGAACAAAGGCATCTCACTGCAGCAGCAGAAAAAATCAGGCCCTGCCCAAAAAGCATTTCTGTCGCCAGCATGAGATCTTGTGAAATCCATCTCACTGTGGTGAGGTCCTCCTCTATATTGAAACTTGAAAGGAGAAAACCTCAGCAGAGAGAGGAGGAAATAGAGTGCTAAATCAGTGCCACCGTGTTGGAACTGGAAGCCAGTTCCCTGCACCCCCTTGCACCTGACCCCCAGGAAGTGACAATGTGCTCCCAGATGTAACATGCAAACTCCACATTAAAGAGAGTGCAAAACAAATAAACACCAATTAAAAAAATCACTGTATAGGGGAATGAAAGAGTATTGTTAAGGATGTTGTTAAAAAGTACTCACTTTACTTTGAAAGTACATAGTAGCTTACTTCAAGTACATTACACCCAGTGTGCTTACTCCTTTACATAAAGTACATCACCTCTAATTTAGTACTTTGTACTTTAGTTCAATTACTTTTAGTTCTACTTTACCCAACACTGTCCAACCTCTTACTTTGCTCAGGAAAAATGGATTATAACTAGGGTTCTATGTTTTGGGATAAATCCGAAAAACTCCAAAAAAACAGCCACCAGTAAAATTTTTGTCAATTCGGTTTTATCCGATAAACTCTGAATTTTGATGTGGCAGTTCCTTCCCCCCCCCCCCCCCCCCCCCCCCCAAAAAAAAAAAGATGGCATTTTACAATTAAATTAGCGCACAGGGTCAATGGTCCTGGGAAAATGACACAAGTTATCTTTAAAATCTCACACCAATGTCGAAAGGGGCCATACCGCTTATCTCGTAAGGGTTCATCAAGAACAACAGGTAATTGTACTTTTGGGTCACAACAAAAGGCACTGTTTTGGTTTCCATATTGAGCCATACTATTTGTGCTTAAGAGGAGGGAGGGGTTGTGTTTTTGTAACAGTGAAAGCTGGACCATAGGCATAAGATGGGGAAGAGGGGCAACTGAAACTTCCCTATTACATCCTTCAACACTCAACCTTGCGTGGCCGCAGGGTAGGTTGATGGAATAAGATGGGATGAATACGAGCTTCCCGGTGACTGCCTCCGAGAGTTTACTGATTTTAAGATATCGACATGTATTGAAGTAACACTCGCATGCAACTTTTGTAGCGGGACAAATTAGTACTGCCAATGGCAATGGCACCAATGCCAAATGCAGCTGAAGAAAAATTAATTGATACAAGCGCGTTTTATTTTTTGTGTCTAATATATGTTGACACGCGGTTAGTATTTATTTAGTTTTAATAGGAAATACCACGAAATTGAACTCTGAATTTCTGAGAATTGTGAATCAAACAAAAATAAACTTGGATGAGCTTTGTTTATTGGAATTTATTTTTGGGAAAAAATAAACTCTGAAAAACACGCTGCCACTTCACAGTGCACAAACACCACACTATAAAAATACATACACACAAAAACATGCTTCTGCGCTGTGAAGTGCTAGCATGATTCACCAACTCACCCAAGCTAAAGTAGTGACCTGAAAAACACCCTCTAAACTTGATGCAAAAAACTCAGAAAACATGGAATCCTAATTATAAACTCAGCTGAAGCTTGCGCCAAACCTTAACAAAACTGCCAAGGGTTTGGGATGACGGCGGCCGAAGCAATAAGTGTGCACGGAGAGGAACTGTCGACGAAACGTCGTAATGTGTGCCGCTGAAACAAATGCGGGTACCTTTCGATGAAATAACATCCAGATGAAAATGTCGCCTGAACTGACTATCACCGCAACCTTTGGGGCAAGCTCGACAGTGACAGGTGGCATTTGCCCAGTCACTAGGCGCCCGCTCAAAACGTTAGCCCCATCTTCTCCGGCTGCTAACCTCAAGTGGACTATCAGATGCATGTTAGGGTGGTCTTCCCTTTCTGCGGCCCTTACCGGGACTTGTCTATACACCCAACGACAATGCGTGTTGGTTGGAACGGCCCCGTGCATTGATCCGGCTCTTGGCTAATCTGCTAGGGTCTGCCGTGCTGCTCGCCAGCTGCGGCTACCAGAGGCCTTCGTCCACTGTTTGCCAGTATGGACCGACACACCTTCTTTACTAGGACAGTGGACTTGTGGCGCTCCATGCCGTCGGAGGTCACAGCAGCGGACAAAACAGATGCTGCAGGAAGGTGGTGCGGCACCCGTATTTATCTGACTCTTTTTATTCTTATTGTTAAGTTTTACGGGGATTTGTTTTATCTGCTTGTCTTTAACAACGGCATCACAGACGGTATGGGCTACTCGCCTTACTGCGGTGCCGTTAACTCTCCTAGCCGAGTCAAATAATGATCCTAATAATTGTAGAAAGTGGCGGCCAGTTTTTCTTCTCACCGCTTGATGGCCACCTTCTCGCCCGTGTCCAGGCGCTGGCCGAGCACAACCGAGCCGTACGTGCCATCTCCGAGGGGGCCCAGGGTCACATAGCGGTTCATCGTACGGTCCGCGGCGCCGGCAGTAGGTCGGGCCTCATCGCTCCATCCTCGTCGCGCTCTGCTCCGTGCGATGCTGAAAGGAAATGCATCCCGAGGCATCGAGCTCTGCGCCTCCGTGCGGATACGCCGTACTCCCGGAGCTGCATGCGCTCCTGGCTTTGAGACGTGCCTCTCTGGCGCGACCGCTCGTTCTACGGGCGAACGTTTCAGGGTCTCGTGCTCGAAACACGAGCGATCGAAATTACGTGCGGTCGAGGCTTGTTACGTTCATCGCAGCAACGGCCCAGCTCGCCGCCAACTAGACACCGCCGCGGAGCATGCGGTCTATAGTTGGCGACGACAGTTCCCAAGAGATTGTACGTACTGTTTGTAAGTGCCAGGGGGTTGCGTGAATGAAACGTTTCGGCGGTGTGACTACATCAGGACGGTACCATCATCCCTATGTTGACGGCGTTGCTTACCACAGCGTTGCCAGGGCAACCGAGGGGGCAAGATCTGCCGCGCCGATCACGTGCGGCGGGCTGCTCGCGCTGCTGCACACCTGTGCCAAGGTCACCGCGCATCTTTTCCAACTTGACGCGATCGCTTGCAAGGCGCCGCACACCTTTAATTTCCTCAGCCGTTGCTGGCAATCAGTTCACAGACAGATCGTTTCGTCGGCACTCATTGAATTGATTCGGACATACCTTCGAAATTCCGAGCGCTTGCCATCAAAAGATGGCAACAGAAAAACGAAATTTCTCTAATAGCGAGTTCGTTTCACGGCACTCGTGCCCACGCGTGCCCACTCGCAGCGTGGAACGGGTTCGTTTCGGCCGGCACTCCACGAGTGGTTGCACTCTCCGAGTTCGTTTCAGCGCTGACACCCCACGCGTGCATGCACACTCACTGCACCGAGAAAATCGGGAGTGCGCCAAAATGCAATCCCATCATGCCTCGCTCCGGTGGGGCCGGCGAGGAGCGGGAGCAGACGACGAGGGTTCGACTGCTACGATGTGTCGCGGAACCGAACGGGAAAAAAAGTAGATTTTCTCATAGATATCGCGTCCCGCGGGCCATGAAATCAAACGCGAGCTTGAATTGTGAGCGTCTGCTATTTCCCGAAGGAAGCAATTGACAACCCGTGATTTATTTGCAGGTTTTAAATCGCTATGTTGCCGCACAAACGCTGAAATATACCAGTGTGTAAAGAAATGCTCAGAACAAACGCAACAGCGGCCCCCGAGATGTCTATCACCATCCGTGTGCGGGTGAAAAATTTAACAATTTTCGACAAAACTCCCCCAGCAGAAACCTCTGACTGCCCAATGAGCATCAGAGAAAGCTAAAGATGGAGACTTTATCCGAGGATTGGGCAACATCATCATGTTTAACATTTACCTACGTCAGCTAACGTACCCCGTCGTATTTTGTTCGAGAAAGCTCTCATTCTCGACGCCCTCGCCAAGGCTAATATCTAATCCTGACGATCCAAATCGAAAGTCTTAGTTTTGCTGGATATTCCAACAGAATGGTTTTAAGCCGTACCCTTTCAGTGGTTCACGAATAATACCATGCTCAAACGGATCAAGCTTCTGCTCGGACAGCATCATCAGTTTTCTTCAGTGTAAACGGTTATAAGAATTGAAAGATGGCAACCAGCTGCTTTGTAGACAGCTGGTTGCGGAAATTTACGCCGTCTGTAATTATCTCTACGGCAGCCTAGCTGCTTGAAGTCATCGCAACGATAAACTACAGTTTGCAGCGACCAACGTTTGTAGATAAACGTTGGTAGCGACTGCATTCTCGCATTCCCACGCATCACTCCGAGCAGAAAGGCGCTAGTTTCGGTTTGAAGTCGGTACCTTTTCCACAACATAGATGGCGGCAGCGTCAGTCTTGTGCACTCGGTGCATTTGGCGAGTTCGTTTGAGTCCAGTTTTCCGTGCAACACTCTGTGAGTGCGATGCATTCTGGGAGAGAACTCGAACGGTGCCAGTGCGTATGAAACGAACTCGCTATAAAATGACACACACACACACACGATATTTTGACAAGTGTTTTTCGACCAATATGGGCGTTGCGCATGGGCCACATGCGCTCAAAAAGCTCTCCGATTTTTTCCTTCTTTTCATATGGAGGCTGTCGGATATATGATCTCGTGGTCGGATCAAACGTAACGTACATCAATTTATTATCATTAAAATTCAATAGATTTGTAAAAAAAAAAAAAATTGCTTTTTTTTAAATATTTGTTAAACTTATTGGGTATATTGCACCCAAATTAAGAATTGCGGTAATTGCGGGCGAGCGTGGGCACGAGTTCGTTTCACGTCACTCGTGCCCACGCGTGCCCACTCGCAGCGCAGAGCGAGTTCGCTTCGGCAGGCACTTCACGAGTGGTTGCACCCAGAGGTTGCACCTTCCGGGTTCGTTTCAGCACCGACACCCCACGCGTGCATGCACTTCCTGCACCGAGAAAATCGAGCGTGCGGCCAAATGCAATCCCGTCATGCCAGCTCCGGCGAGGAGTGGGAGCCAGGGGGGTAAAAATGGGTGAGGACGAGTGGCAAATCCCGTGCGCCGACACCCGGGGTCCCGAATGAACGATCGCAAAAGAGAGCGACAGAACACGAGAGAAAGAAAGCAACGTTGCCATAGGAAACGCGAAGAGTGAAAACTCTCAGCAATATAAACAGTGATAATTTAACGTTGTAAACTAAATTCTGAGCTATTTTAACGCTTATAAAAAGCAATAAAGTCATTACGCTGCATTAACTTCCCTTCTGTCGAAATCTCGGAAATCTGGTGGTTGCGCAGTTTCGTATTCCTCAACCGCGCCCACCCGCGCCCCACCGGCGAAGCCGGGTATATGGTTTAGTTTAGCGTTAACGCGAGGCTGCGCGCTATGCAAAAAGAAAGCTTCGAAAGGAACGCGAATATGTTTCTACCGGTAAGTTCGTGGATTGTTGAAGTTAACGAAACTGCTCTGATGATGTAACCGTGTTTGGGACCCCGAGGGTCTGCCTGCATGATCCGCCGCTTGCGGCAGCCAGGGCAGCCAGAATGTATGGGAAAATGGCGGACCTTTTCCTCTAGAGTTAGTATGTATGATCTCTATGGTGGGAGCATACGGCAAGGGGTCGTCTGCTACGATGTGTCATCTGTACAGCTACAGTACTGTAGTACAGCGGAACCGAAAGGAAAAGAAGTAGATTTGCTGATAGAAATCGCGTCCCGCAGGCAACAGAATCAAACGCGAGCTTGAATTGTGAGCGTCTGCTATCCCATGAAGGAAGGCATTGACAACCCATGCTTTATTCGCAGGTTTTAAGTCGCTCTGTTGCCGTACAGACGCTGAAATATACAAGTGTGTGAAGAGATGCTTAGAACAAACTACAGAGATGTTTATCACCATCCGTGTGCGGGTGAATAATTGAACATTTGTCGACAAAACTCCCCCAGCAGAAACCTGTGACTGCACAATAAGCATCAGAGAAAGCTAAACAGAGTGATTTTACTCGGGCTTGGGCAACATCATCATGTTTAACATTTACCTACGTCAGCTAACTCCTAGATCTAAATCGAAAGTCCCACGAAAAATTGTGCATGGATATTCAGCCATACCCTTTCAGTGGCTCACCCATACTACAAGGAGGCGCCAGGCTCTTTAAATCGACCGGAAAATTCGGTTTCTTAACCTATCGTGCAGCGTTGACCTCGTTGAGCAACAAACACCTACTCATCTATCAGGCAGGCAGGCACTATGTCAGGCACCACACTGACCACACCACCAGGGGGTGAAGGAAGGTGGGTGACGAGGGTGAGGAGGAGTGGCAAATCCAACAGGCCAATCCCGTGCGCCGACCACAAGCAGGTCAGCCGCCGGGGTCCCGAGCATACCTCGGCAAATTCATTCATGAACTCGCTCATTCACCTTCATTCACATTCACGGCGTGAATCTGAATGGCTCTGAATGAATTCTTGAAATTGAAAAAATCATGATGTGATGGTGAATGACTGTGAATTTAAATGAATTTGTGATGTGATGGTGAATAACTTCGTGAATGTCAATGAATTCGTGATGTGATAGTGAATGAAGTCGTGAATTTGAATGAATTTGTGATGTGATGGTGAATGAAGTCGTGAAGTCCTGATGTGATGGTGAATGACTTCGTGATTTTGAATGAATTTGTGATGTGATGGTGTATGAAGTCGTGATGAGATGGTGAATGACTTCGTGAATTTCAATGAATTCGTTCGTGATGTGATGTTGAATGAAGTCGTGATGAGATGGTGAATGACTTCGTGAACTGAAGAGAATTCATTGTGATGTGAATGACTCAATGAATTCATGACGTGATGGTGAATGGCTCGTGAACACGATTGATTTGTGATGTGAGTGGCTCGTGAAGTTGATAAGTTTGTGATGGGAAGTAATACCATGAACTTAATTCTCGGCGTGATAGTGAATACGGTTATTAATTCAGAATAGGTGGAAAACATGTTACGCAGGTGCTTGTTTGCTTGCTGGTTGTTTTCATCCTTCACCGCAAACGACAGGGACCCATTTGACTTTAGCAGTTTGGACATCAGTCTCGCTGCGTAGCCGTGCGCGCCTCTGCGCAGTGGCTCTTTGTCGAGCACTTTAGAAGTACCAGCTGTTTATAAGGGAAGTGCGGTGGCAGTGGTAATGAAGAGACGAAGACGAAGCCGACGTCATGAGCAGGCGCACCTAATTTGACCTAATCCGGCGCCGAGATAATATCACGTGACCGGCCGTTTCCGCGCGGCGGCGCATGGAACACATTCATGTGATACGATCGCAGCGCGAGATTGGCTGGGTTGGCGCACTATCAATGTGCTTTGAGTTTCGCGCACTCAAAATACCCCACTTCCCCGACGAAGTCAGGTCCTGGTTTCAAGAGGCTGACATGAAAAGTCGCCACAGTCCTATTGCGCAAGAACTGCGAACTCGTGAAGGGCTACCAGCCATGAAGTCAAATTTAGTCAGAATGAACCTGAATGAGTTCGTGAATTATGTGGAATTCATGATGTGATGGCGAATTCCGGTGAATTCGTGTTGGCCGTGATGGTGAATAACTTCGTGAAGTGATGGTGAATTCGGATGAATTCATGATGTGATGGTGAATTCGGATGAATTCGTGATGTGATGGTGAATTCGGATGAATTCATGATGTGATGGTGAATTCCGATAAATTCACGATGGTGAATTCCGATGAATTCGTGGTAATGGTGAATTCCGATAAATTCGTGGTGATGGTGAATGACTTTGTGAATTGGTGATGTGATGGTGAATGACTCCGTGAATTCGGAGGCGGCGGTGCTGTGATGGGGATAAATTCTCGGCGCGGTTAAACGCCGTGATGTGAAGGGGATGAAGTTTTGGCGTGGTTGAACGCCGGGATGTGATGGGCCGTGACTTTGGCAGGTCGGGGTACCTTGTGACGTGAATGCGAATGAATTTGGAGACGTGATTTTGTTCGTGATGTGATGGTGAATAAAGGGGCTCTAAAATGCCGACCTATGGTCCCGAGTGAAATATCGCGAGAGCACTGATAGATCAGTGAAAGAGAGCGACAGAACAGGCGCAGAGAAAGAAACCAATGTTGCCAGCTGATGGACGACAGTCGCAGTGGTAATCGCAAAGACTGAAAACACTCAGTGATATAAACAGTGATAATTTAACGTTGGAAACTAAATTCTGAGCCATTCTAACGCTTATAAAAAGAAATATACTCATTATGCTGCATTAAAGGGATTGTCTGGTTAAAACCGGAAGTACTTAAGGTTTTGCGCTCGTTACGTCGAGGGAGCCTTCATGTAGACAAACATTTTTATTTTGAAATGTGATCTCCCATTATTAATTAAACCCTTCATGAGCGTATGTAC